CGATGATGAGTTGTGGAGAGCTATAGGCATTGCTTATCCAGGCTCCTTTGTGGCTAATTTGACTGAATTTGTCCTGAGACTGCAATTGTGGGTGTAGTTTGTGGCTGTGAAGGATTTTCTCTGTGTGAAGCTAACTGACCCACCTGGGCTTAAGCTCAGTCTTGGCCGTATTAGGCCCATTCTCCAAACACTGAGCAATCGCCCACATAAGGCCACATGATGTGCCAATCATCCTCATTATGTGATATATCTAAAGGTTTGCAGCACAGGGAAATTACTTTGATGTTTTAGAAAAGGTCTGAGAGCTCATCACAGTTTTGATTCCAAAGAACCCAACTTTGTTACCACATAGTACTTAACTAGGTGCTTATTTTGAAGGCAAATGGAAACTTTTAGGCAGGCATCTAAAGCTCCGTGATAAAGAGTATTACGGGTTTTCCGTGTTCTGTTGGTAGAGCTGCTTATACCCGTCGCTGTGTACGTGAAGAGCCTGATGGGACTCCAGCAGGTAAGTTGTGGCAGATCTGTGTGGATGATTCAAATGGAATTGTATTACTTTTAATGGGTCCTGAGAAGAGCACAGTAGGCATTTGATTTGAATCTGGACCAGCCTATTGGCTTATTACTTACTTTCTTTTTTTTTAAAAAAAGAGTTTATTTATTCATTCATGAGAGACACACACACACAGAGGCAGAGACATAGGCAGAGGGAGAAGCAGGCTCCATCCAAGGAGCCCGATACGGGACTTGATCCCAGGACTCCAGGATCACGCCCTGGGCCGAAGGCAGGCGCCCAACCACTGAGCCACCCAGGGATCCCCTATTACTTTCTATTTATGTACAGTCATCCTACCATGGGAACATCTTCAATTATGTTGTTAACTTGCTCATTTTTTTTTCCTTCTGGCCGTGCCTCTCACATACAGGAATATCTGCAAATGCCCTTAATTTGATTACTTAATATGATTTAATTTTCCCAAATGTCATGGCTTATTTACAAACTAAAACAGAAATGATTTTAGAGCTGGAGCCTGCAGGTCACAGAAAGCCCCGGCCCAGTGCGGGAGTCTCTGCTCATCTTTCCAGTCCGGAGCAGGGGTGTTTTATCCTTCAGAGTGAGCTACAGGGTGCTACAGTAACAACGTCCCCACTCCCAATCTCAGTGTCTTAGCACTGGAAGAGCTTAATTCTTGATCAGGACCAGTGAGGCAAGTGAAGTGCCTAGGGCACCAAATTAAAGAGGTGCCCACTGTCAGGGTCATGAAAGCACAGGGTCCTGCTTTTACTTGACCTCCATTGTACAGCAATAGAGGACCTGTTCACGATTACTCCATAGGGATCCAGACCGATAAATGCATGATCACCAGAGAAGTAGAACAAAAACATGGGAAACTGCACACGAACTCTTAAAGCTTCTGCATACGTCAAATGTCACTTCATATGTGGTGACCACTCCAGCTGATTTCCATAGTTTTTATTCCTTAGGTTCTCTAGCAGAGAGGACACTGGCACACTGAGCCCATTGCACCGTGCCCATAGCTCTCAAAATTCACCACCAGGGAGTATGATGAATTCTGGGGATAGGTCGCTCATGGATCAGGACTGGCTGCACAGGAGGCCTGGCAAGTGGATGGGCTGTGCTCCTTAACATCATCTGCTCTGCCAAGCAAGGCATTTGCAACCTGCTAGGACAGTGGCAGCCCTGAAGGGAAGCTCTCCTCTTGCCACGGTGCCATGAGCAGCAGCCTTAGTGACCAAGGCTCATCAAACTGCAGCTGAGGAAAGAGCACTGCTCCTCTCTCTACCTCTTAATCCTTCTTATGCGATCTTTTTCATAACTCTGGGAAGCTTTGGGATACATTTTGCAGGGAGATGTTCTCCTATGTACAGCTGTTCTATGTCACCACCTGTGGGAAGTGAAGAAGGTCAGTCAATGAGCATTATTTATTATTAGCTGTGGGCTCCAGAAAGAGCCGGACAAAAAGGACAAAATATAAAATAAAGAGGAAATTAAAAAATCATGTATTTTATAGGAAGTCCCTTTTTTTAAAAAAAATATTTTATTTATTTGACACAGAGAGAGAGAGAGAGAGAGGGAGAGAGTGCACAAGCAAGGGAGTGTCAGGCAGAGGGAAAGGGAGAAGCCGGCTCCCCACTGAGCAGGGTGCCCATTGTGGGGCTGGATCTCAGGACCCTGAGATCATGACCTGAGCCGAAGGCAGATGTTTAACCCACTGAGCCACCCAAGCACCCTAGGAAGCCCCCCCTTTTTTTGCTGTCCCCATTAGACATTCTGATATACTTGCCCTTCATCTTTGCTGCCTACATGCATAACAAGTTCTTAAATGTCAGCAAGGATTTTTAACATGTTTATTTAAAACACATGGAAGGGGGCATCTGGGTGGCTTAGTGGTTGAGTGTCTGCCTTTGGCTCAGGGCATGATCCTGGGGTCCTGGGATCGAGTTTCACATCAGGATCCCAGCAGGAAGCCTGCTCCTAGGAAGCCCTTTTAAAGGAAGTTTGGAATTTTTTCAAAGTTAATCAATTCTCATCCAATACCTCTAACTCCCAGATTTGGCGCACCCATTTCATAGATGAGTACTCAAGTCCCCTGGCTGGTTAAGACACAAAATCATGGAGTGAATGACTGCAGTTTAAGGGTGGCTGTCTTTTAGGATTTACACTTTAGCCTTTAGCTTTTCTGTGGTAATAAATCCATGGGTGTAATTTCAGCAGTGATTTTGAACTTGTTTTTTGATGTAATAGATGAAACATTGAAATTGGTATTTCAGTCAGTTTCTTACTGAGTGTTTATCAGTTACATGTCATATTTGGTTGAATATTTGTGTTGAGATTTGGGAGAAGAGAGGGAATTAAAGATGGATGATATGTCAGTTCTACTGAATATGGTAGCATATCAACTTTTCAAAGCCCTTTATTATGGAATGTCAAGTCCACACTGACCCAGAGCAAGGGGAAGTTGAGTGTAGCTACAGGTCTGGGCCCATATCCAGGTTGAACAGGAAGGATCTAGTGTGATATTTTTTCACTTCCAACTTTTTGGCTCCCTGATTTTGAAGGTAATGGTTCAGTGTGGCATCGATGAGATACTATTTTAGCTTTAGAATAGTTAAAACACAATGCCAAGTATCAGTGAGGAAGTGGTGAGCATATAAAATGGTATAACCTCTTTGGAAAATAGTATGGCAGTTCCTTACAAAGTCAAACGTGGACCTATCCTGTGTCTCAGAAATTCTACATCTAAGTATGTAGGATGTGAAATAGACCACATGTCCACTAAAGGGACTGTAACAGATTTGTTCATGGCAACTTCGTGCATAATATCCCCACCCTGCAAATAACCCAAATAAATGGCCATCAGTAGGTGAATGGATAAGTAAACCGTGGAATATTCATACAATTAGATCATACTGAACAACAAAAAGGAATGAGTCACAGATACACACAACAACATGTATGAATCTCAAATACGTTGTGTGGAGCAAAAGAAATCTAAGACACACAAAATACTATGTATTTCCACTTATATGAAGTTCAACAACAGGCCAAAGTAAGCTATGGCTGTAAAAGTTAGAAAGTGGTTGCCTCTGGCAGGGGAATGGACTAGAAAGGAATGTAAGGGAAGTTTCTAGGATGATGGAAATACTCATGATTGGGATGGTAGTTACAACGGTGTTACAGCTCATCAAGCTATATATTTAAACTCTGCGCTTCTCTGATATGTAGATTATAGTTTGATTTTTAAAAAGACAAAATAAATTCAAGGTATCAGACTTATGGGACCCCAATCTAACTTGCTTTCTCTGCAAGTGTTCTCACTTATTTTCTTCAAGGAATATTGAAGAAATATTGATGGAATATGTCCTCACCCATAGTCAATTAAGTCAGAGAAAATCAATTTTAACTGTCCCAACTTTACTCTCTACCAGGGAGAATATAAGAGCTACAATGGGGTTTGAATCACCACATGGGGTTGGCCAGCCTTTGCTTCTCTTATCTCCTGTTAACAGCTCATGGTCACAATAGTGGCAGGGCACAATTACAGAGAAGCTCCCTCTTTGTCTACTCAGAATCAATAGAAATACACGATGCCATGCAAGATTAAAGCCAAACCCCTGGTCATCCAGGTGCTGAAAATGGAATGCACTAGCTGCTATTCATCTTCAATGTGCCAGCATGGTTCTGGCAGGTGAACGGAGCTGCATCGGATATGGGCAAAGCTGTGGCGACAGAAGAGGCAGATGTGCAGAGAGAGCACAGAAGGGAAGGAAGGGGGACAAATATGTCCCCTTTTAATGCCACAAAGGATCACATTACAAGCTTGCAGAGGCAAGCTGGGGTTGGTATCTAGTCTGCATTTCCTGAAATGTGAGATTTGCAGGAGAAAAGAAGGAAAAATCCCACCATTGTCTGATATTGTGCCTTGGAACCCTGTTAAGAATTATGTCTTTTGGGCAGCTCTGGTGGTGCAGCGGTTTGGTGCCGCCTGCAGCCTGGGGTGTGATCCTGGAGACCCGGGATCCAGTCCCACATCGGGCTCCCTGCATGGAGCCTGCTTCTCTCTCTGTGTCTCTGCCTCTCTCTCTCTATGTGTCTATGAATAAATAAATAAAATCTTTTTTTTTTTTAAAAAGAATTATGTCTTTTGTTTTGGTTTTGTTTTTTGTCTTGGTCCCTCATGCTTTGTAACTTTTTGAAAATCAACAACCCCTGTTATGACCTGTTATCCTTTTATATCATGTTAAGTATTTACATTTTTATATATTTATAACCATGAATGAAATACATTTTAAAAAGGTGGATGTCATAGGTGCTAAAAAAAGGTCTAGGCAGTTATTTAAAACTAAGAGATTCTGAAAAATGAACCATTTTGAGTACACAAACCTACCCTTTGACTATTAGAGCAGGTCTTAAATCAGCGGGTTTCTTTTAAAAGTTCACTTAAAGTTTGGTTTGACCTGACTTTTGTATTGTGACATCATTGACCCTCAACAAACTGCAAAGCCTGGCACAGCTCCCGGACGCCGGAGTCCCCCAGCTTGTTGTTGCTCAGCTGCAGCTCCACCAGGTGCTTGTTCTGGGTCAGCATCGTGCCGAAGTGGTGGCAGCACGCGGCCGTGAAGTTGCAGGACTTCACCCACAGGGACTGCAGCCGGCTGCGGGGCTCCAGCAGGTTCTCGCACAGCAGCCGCGCGCCCTCGTCCCCCAACGCGTTGCACACCAGGCTCAGCTCCTCCAGGCTCTCCTTGGCGCTGACCACGCGGCACAGGTCCCTGCAGCCCGTGGCGGTGACGTCACACTCCCAGAGCCACGGGACCCTGATCTGGCAGCTGGGGTGCAGCAGGCTGGGGCACAGCACCGCGATGCCCTGGTCACCCAGCTTATTGTCGCCCAGGTCCAGCTCCCGCAGCGAGGTCTTGGAGGCCACCACAGCGCGCAGGTCCTCGCAGCTGGCCGGCGTCAGGCCACAGTTCTCCAGCTTGAGCGTCTCCAGCCGACAGGCTGACTCCACCAGGCCCCGGCACAGCACCCGCACGCGGCCTCACCGATCTCGTTGTTGCTCACCGCCAGCTCCTTGAAGTGCTGCTTGGTCCTGAGCGCCGAGGCCAGGCACTCGCAGCTGGCGGCCGTCGGGTTGCAATACTCCAGCTGGAGCTTCTCCAGGTGGCACTGGGGGTCCAGGAGCCCTTCGCACAGCAGCTGCAGGCCTGCGTCCTCCAGCGGGTTGTCACTGAGGTGCAGCTCCCGCAGGGTGGGCATGGAGCGCAGCACGGCGGGCAGGACCCCGCAGCCAGTCTTCGTCAGGCAGCAGTTCTGGAGGCTGAGCTTCTGGATCTTGCAGGTGGGGCTCTGCAGGCCCTGGAGCACCAGGTGCACGCCGGCATCACCCAGCTCATTGGTGCAAACCATGGTTCCCTGTGTTCCTACCCTTGGGTATTCTCCACCCCGAACTCTGACTCTAGGCTTGGCCATGTGACTAGCTGTAGCCAATGGGGAACTAGCAAGTGTGATGCAAGTAGAGTCTTGATAAGCCCACACTGGGGCTCGTCCTCTTCCTAATGCTTGCTCTTAGCACCCAGCCACCGAGCTGTGAGAAAGTCCATGTGGCCAGGTGGAGAGTCCTATAAGGAGGACCGCAAAGGCCCCTGACCAATAGTTAGCCCCAACTTGCCAGCTCTCTGAATGCGGCCATCTTGAAAATGGATCCCGCAACCCCCAAAGGAGCCTCCCCAGCTGATTCCACATGGAACAGAGGTGAGGTGTCCCTGCTGGGCCTTGTCCAAATTGCAGATCTGGGAATAAATACATGATTGTTGTTTTTTTAAGTCATTGAGTTTTGGGGTGGTTTGTTACATATGCATGAAATAGCACCTACGCTCTTTTTTGTATATATTTTATCTAGATGTCTGTCACCGACCAAATTTAAATTGGCATATAGATTTTACCTCTCTGTAGTAGTTTGGGAACTCTGTGTTGAGGGAGATTCTGAGTCTGCATTCTAATTTCGCCGAAAAGTATGCACGGCCCTTGTCTTATCAGTTCTGCGCACAGCAGCCAGAGCACTCTTTTAAAAATCAATGTGATTATGTTACTATGTAGCTTAAAATCATCCAGGGGTTTTCCTCTTCACTTCCAATGAAAACCAAATTCCTTATTCTTGTCTGCACTGAATCCCTCTGCTCACTGGCCTCTGCTTGCTTCTCTTCATTTTCAGCTCATGCAGCACTCTCACTCAGCTGCTTGCATGGCCCAGCCTCACACGTTGCTTTTCCGTTCTCTGAACATGCCAAGCCACTGTCCACCTTTGCATCTTTTTACTCATGTTAGATGCTCTCTCTGCATGGAAGGGTCATCACAGGACTGGCCTCTTGCCATTCAGGTCTCAGCTTCAATATCAACTCCTCACTCAGCGCAGAGACTGCTGGAGACTCTCTCTCTCTCCCTCTCCCTCTGCCCCTCCCACAACTTGTGTGTGCCTTATCTCTCTCTCTCAGAATAATTATTAAAGAAAATTACCTCCTCAGAGAGACTTTTCTGACTCTAGGGATCAATTGACTGTTACTATAATAATATTTTTTTAACAAAGCACCTCAAAATTCAGCAGCTTGACACAACAAGCAGGAATCTCTGATTCACAGGCCTGTGGGATGATTGGGGCAGGTCTGTGCTCTGTCTCAGCCTAGGGTCCTGATTGCCTCCCAGGTGAGCAATCAGAAACCCTCAAGCCTCTAAGGCCCCAACTCTGAGCTCACACACTGCCCCTCCTTTTGGTCTGGATCAATTCACATGGCCAACATCAATGGGGAGAAAGTACTCTTCCCAGGGAGGGGATATTTTCAGAGCAATAATCAAACCTACCAGACTATCAAATCTAAAGCAGCCACACCACCAGCCCTTACATTCATTTCACCCAATTTTAATTCTCTGCAAATAATTTATCACTCTCTGATATTTTTTGTGGTTATTTATTATGTTTGTTGTCTGTGTCCGTTTGCTAGAGCATGTGTTCCATGAAAGCAAAGATATTGTCTTCTTCAATGCCATATTCCTGGCTCATAGAACAGTTTCTTGCTGAGATAAGGGGCCTGATAAGAACAAATGTTAGCTGCAGATATTGGTACAGGGAGAAGGACCTGGAAAGCCACTTATTTTTTTTTTCAGGTGCAACTTATACAAATATCTATTTTTAAAAAAGATTTTATATATAAGTGACCTCTACACCCAATGTGGGGCTCAAACCCACAACCCTGACCAAGCCAGCCAGGCACTCCCAAATATCTTGATATTTTAACTCAATACTTCTTCTTCCTATAATTTCTCCATCTCTTCAGTATTGTCTTTCAGTAATGTAAGAGAGATCACGATAACTTGCCTTTAATGCTTTTTTTTTATTACCCATCCATCTTTGTGAAAAACTTTTTGTGCCAGATGTTAGCTTTAGAAACTGTGCTTTAACTCAAAGGGGACTGAGGGGGAAGTATCTTAAAACTCAGATCCTCAAATCAATCTCTTTCAAGTTTCTAGGGATTAGACTTTCCCAGAAGCTAGCCCTGGGACAAGGATTGGAGTACATGTAGTTTATTTGGGTGCATGGACATGGATAAGACAGTGAAGTAGTGATACAGGGAAGAGAAGACAGCCCATCAATGGGGTCATTATACAATAGCCAAACTGTGGAAGGAGCCTCAGTGTTCATGGAAAGATGAATGGATAAAGAAGATGTGGTTTATGTATACAATGGAATATTACTCAGCCATTAGAAACGACAAATACCCACCATTTGCTTCAACGTGGATGGAACTGGAGGGTATTATGCTGAGTGAAGTAAGTCAATTGGAGAAGGACAAACATTAGATGGTCTCATTCATTTGGGGAATATAAATAATAGTGAAAGGGAATATAAGGGAAGGGAGAAGAAATGTGTGGGAAATATCAGAAAGGGAGACAGAACATAAAGACTCCTAACTCTGGGAAATGAACTAGGGGAGGTGGAGGGGGAGGAGGGCGGGGGGTGGGGGTGAATGGGTAACGGGCACTGAGGGGGGCACTTGACGGGATGAGCACTGGGTGTTATTCTGTATGTTGGTAAATTGAACACCAATAAAAAATAAATTTATTTAAAAAATGGGGTCATTATTAGGCCATCTACCACCAGAAGCATCTGGAATTTAATCCTACCAGTATTAATGATCCGCCTCAGAATTATCCCAGCCACAGCATGAGGCAGCTGGGAATTTATGCCCTTGTACTTCTCAGCCATTAAAGGCTGCCCAGGGGATGGAGCCAAAGGGGTAGGAGAGGATGGAGATGTTAACTCCTATGCACTTTCACCCAGTTTGTAGAATGATGTGGGTTTGGGCGGCCCGAGGGCAGGCTTCTGACAAAGATTTAGGTGTTCACCTTTGGAAGTGAGGCTGGGCACATGAGAAGTTTAAGCTCAGAGGGGACAGGAGCACAAAAGACCCTGATTAGTCTTTTTTCTTGAACCAGTTCTACTATAGATAATTGACATGCAATAAACTGCATACCTTTTCAGTATACTGATTGATAAGTTTTGACATATGTATATATCCACGAAACTATCACCACAGTCAAGATCATGGACATAGCCATCGCCTCTGAAAGTTTTCTCATGCTCTTTTGCCCTCCCATTGCCTCCTTCCCATCCTCAAACCGCCACTGATCAGCTTTCTGTCACAATAATATGCAATTCCTAGAATTGAATGTAAATGGAATCATACGATATGTACTTTCATTTTGTCCCTTTCTTTCATTCAACAGTCATCCATGTTGTTGTCTGTATCAATAGTTCATAGCTCTTTGTTGCTGAGTAGTCTTGTATTGTACGCATTTAGCACAATTTGGTGGATATTTGGATTGTTTCTACCTTTTGGCTGTTATGAATAGTGCTGCTATGATTCGTATACAAGTCTTTGTGTAGTCGTGTTTTCATATCTCTTGACATCACATTGATAACTTGGAATTGGCCATGAAGGCAGTAACTGCACCACAGAAATTGGCAAACACTACAAATCCAAGGCTTTCCCCCCTAGAGACCTGGTTGTTGAACATGGGCTACCACACCACTAGATACAGCACAGAATTGGAATTACTGAATCGAAGAATATGCACTTTAAAAAAAGGTATTGATCTATGTTATCAGGGAGGGTTTCCAAAAAGGTTGTAACTCTTGTTTATTAAATAGGTATATCCTTTCTGTCATTTAAAATATTCAACTCCCTGTAAGCCAAAGAGCCACTAAGATGCTGGCCTTTCCTCAGGGTGATCTTGCTATTTTTTCTTGTTGTAAAGAGCAGGAATTTTGGAATATTTATGAAAGACAAACATTTTTAGGCTGGTGTATGCATATATAAGACTTTCATAACAGGGAAAAGAAGACATTAAAAAAATATCAGGCCAGAGAGGTGACATAATCAAATAAGGGAAAAGGGGCCGAAAGGAAACATGACACATGAAATTCTTGTTCCTCCAGTACACAGAGTTTTCTCAGTCATTGTTTATAAAGAAACATATTTCCGTACAGTCACACCCAGTAAGCATGTACCATTTCTGATTTACTCATTTAATATTATTTCACATCACATTTCCATGAATGGACATAATGCTCATTATTTCCATTTAGACTACTTCATAATATTCTATTATTATCACTCTCCTATTGTTGAGCAGTTGGGTTGTTTCCAATTTTTTGACTTTATAAATAGAATGGCTTCCTGCAAATTTCTTCCTTTGCCTTGTTGATTGTTTTTTCCTTGGATTAGCTTTCTTAAAGGTCTCTTCTCTGGACATGACTTACTTATTTTGTTCCACATAGACACTTCTCTCTCCTGTCCTAACCTTGCACTTGGTTCTTGCTATGGACTGTCATAGAGCCCTATATAGTCTCCTTTACAACCTACCACTTTCTTTAGTAATGTGTTTGCTTGTTTTCCCAGCTAGACAGTGGGCTTCACAAGGGGGGGGAGCACAGTGTTTTTTTTCCTCTTTGTTGGTACCCTATTGCTTATACTGTATTTGCTCAGTACATATTTATTGATTTATCTCACTATTTCTCTTTCTTTCTTTTTTCAAGTTGCATTTGACATTAATTCCCTCAGGAATTAATACATGAACAACAATTAGTGTCCTACTCTCACCCTGCTGGCTTTGCTGTAGTTAGATGATTGCTAACCCCGAACTAAACCTTGATTTGGCACCAGGCCATGCCTGTAGTAATAATGAGTCAAAGTTCAAGGCTAGTCAGTATTTCCCTCAGAGATGAGTTAATTATAGGCAATCAAAATGTAAAGGGATTAAATTAGTTAGGCCTGCAAAATTGTCTTTTCGACTTTTCCAAATGCAGCCTTGTACTTAAAATGGGTGTATCTTAGGTCAGGCTCCCCAGAAACAGACTGTAGGATGGAGATTAGTGGACAGGAAGTTACCCTAGGTGTTCTCTAGGGAGATACACC